AAGACTGAATTCTGAATTCTGTTTATCGCAAAACTTCTTTCCCTTGGCGTTTAACAATTTTCCTGGTCCATCTGTCCTCTCCTAAAAGTTCTACCAAATAAATTGAATCATAAGAAAGGCAACAAGATATTTCCTTACCTCTTACGTTATAATCCATACCAGCAGTCTACGAACTAGCTACCTGGACGAGATTGTTCGCCGGCGTTTGCTTGTAACCTCGTAGAAAATGTTACATAACCGAGATTGCATCAGTCATCCATGCTCCTAACTTGTTTATTTTGATAGTTATTGTTTAAGATTTGCATAGACAACAATGGATAAAACAGATATGTCASATATCTGATTGACGTCTAACAATTGTCATCTTACGCAACTCGATTTAAATACAGTAGAACCCCGCTCTAAGGACACCCGCTTAATAAGGACACCTCGTTATTAAGGACAGGTTTCAAAGTCCCAACGAAAGCTCCATACATTTTCTGTTAAATTAACCCGCTTTATAAGGACGCCCGTTAATAAGTACAAAGGACACATTTCTAGCACCTGAATGACAGATTCCATACAAAATCAACCCCGCATTAAGGACACTTGAAATTTGAAGACGCCTTTACTGTATTTGTTTATTGATATAATGAGCATAATACTGAATATATTGTCAGTTTTTTATAAATTCCGAATTTTATTAGAAGATTGTGGATTGTGCGATTTTTTGCTTATAATACACTATATAATTTACCTTTTCATCACTACTTAATAGGGACTCTACGGAGGACAATCTGGGATTTAATTGTGCTCTCTTGTACRATCAGAATCGAGTAATTTTGTTGAGTGTATTATAAGCTGCGAAAACGTGCAGACGAAGTTTGGAAACATTTCAGCCAGGGCGAGACCCCAAAAATATTGTAAAATCTGCAGAAAATTACGAATTGCTTAAATCGAATTCTGACAACGAAAATGACTTATTGGGTTCTTTAAAATAACTCCTCACTATTTTCGTTGAATCAGGGGCTCTATCCGGTGACTTTAAAGGAATTTTACTTCATAGRTTTTTGAGATATCATTTTTAGAAATATTTCCATCACTAGTGTTTGAAATATATCCATCACTCGAAAACAATAAAAGCACGAGGACTACGGCCAACGGCCTCGTGCTTTCTCAAATGTTTGCTCGTGTTTGGAAACCTTAATGAAACACTCGCACTCGTTTTTGAAATATTACTTGCCCAGCCCAAGCTAGGTTTCTGTGGTGTCGCTGTTAGATCTAAGTTTTTGGTGTAGTTTTCTTTGTCCTAGATTTGTTTATATAAGTGTTCTATAGCTTTTGTTTCACTCGTTTCAGTCTAAGTATTTCGTCATTGTTAGCCTAGTCCCTTAGGAGTTTTTGTATGCTTTATATACGCTCTCTATAATGCTAATACTTAGTTAGTTGGTGCTCGCAGTTCGTCCCTTTATGCACAAATGTAAGTTATTCGTTTCCATTATTTCTTATCGTTTTTGCAGTTTAATGTTTCGTAGTTTTATCCTATTTGTTATATCATATTTACTAAGTTATTTATCTATTTGTAGTCTTTACCTTACGCTATGCGTACGAGTTTAGAATAAAACAATCAAGTATGGGACGTAGTACCAACAGTCATGTTGTAAGAGAATGTATAGCGATACTTAAAAAGCTCAATAAAATTGTCAAAATGTCAAATAAAGTAAAGAAATCTTAGCTGACCTTTGGAAAGTAGAACGTTTTTCGCCCTGTGTACTTAGATTTTGACTTCATGACTGCAATTTAATTTTCATAATAATGCGAACTGTGTCTGCGAACTGCACGCTGCCGCCAATCAAACCTGGTTCTTTCCTGTGCTTCGAGAGGTACCTTTTTGCAGCAGTGAAAACCAAATTTCAGCGTGAAACTCAGAGACACAKAATTCGCATATTTATGAAATTGCAGTAAGCCAGTTTTGGCGAAAGARGTAGTCTACTACTTTTCAAAGGTAGAGTGAAGGCATATAACCCGTGAAAGTAAAACGTCGGCAATAAGCCATATACATCCCGAGGGCCGTAGGCCCGAGGGATGTATAGGCTTACTAGAGAGTTTTAGATTTACGTTCACGGCAAACGTGAAACGTCAGTTGACCATTTAAAAATTATTTTAAATAGCTTAAAAAGAATCGCAAAAAA